TCATGAACGTGTCAGGTGTGATGAGGAGGATCCCAAGATTGGCTCGAGGCGGCGCCTGCTTCAACATCGAGGGAGGACGATAGGGGGTGGCTCTAGGCAGTAAGCAAAGAGAAGATGGGGTAAGGCTGCTGCAAGCACCCTTCAGTGGACGACCCAAGGTGACAACGTGTAAGCACAGACGTGTGGCGAGCTGATTGTGCGATTACAATTCTCCTGAGCTGCATCAAAGAGACAGATGCTACTTCTCGATCTGCATGAATGGGATCAACCGTGCGACAGCCGCTACTCAACATCCGCATTGGTCGGGCCTGCATGTCTGGGGATGCCTGGCATGACAGAAGATGGGCACTATGCCCAGGGCCAGGCGAAGTGAAACATCGATGGCCACAGACGGAGACCCAACATGCAGGCGGGCTTAGAAGAACCGTCATGCCCTACTGCCAAAAGTAGAAATCAGGGTAAGCTGGCGAAAGAATGGCAGATCCCAATGGTGGGAGGACGTTGCGTCTCACCAGTCCGATCGCGGGGGCAAGACGTGAATGAAAGAAGATTGGCTGGCGGGAACCACATGCTCTTGCAAACGGAAATGCAGCCATTACAACGCGACAGTCAAACAACACTCTGTCGTGCACAGGGAGCCGACATGAACATCGTCATCATCCGTGAAGACCGGGTCGACCGAGTCACTTTTAATGCAGACGAGAAGGCCCTCCCATGACTCAGCAGCAAATCCAAACTATAGAGGGTGGCCCTTCACAATACGACATGTCGTATGACTCAGAACTTAGGCTCTTCCAGGTGGCAGGGAACATGATTCAAGTCTGGAGACAGTCCTAGGGATTGAAGACAGAGGTCGGGGCACTGCATCAATGGTTAAGTTCTGCCAGATACCAGGTTGAGACGCGTAAGACATTCTGAATCATCTGGGGGTGCACCAACCTGGGAATGAGGTGAGATGAGAGCGTCAACAAAGTGGTGATCATGCGTTGAGTGCTATATGTCGATCCTGGTCCCATTTAAGCGCGAACGTCGTTCACCGAGGTGTTGCAGCGTGACATGCCCTCCTCTTGTCCTCCACAGCGCTCTTGACCCGATGGACGTCCCGACCAGTGCACGGGGGGGAGCTTCACCATGGTCTGCGGTGCCGGAAACGCCCGCGACTCCGAAGGGGGAGGGGGGGGGGGTCGGTTTTCACAGACGGCACGGGGATTCTTGGAGGGAACTGGAGGTTTTTTTCGGACGACTTATTGGAAGATGGGAGGGCTCTCAAGAAGTCCTTTGCCTTCTCAGAAGGCCGCGCCCCTCGGGTCAGCGCTGTGGGCACCTCAGCGCGGGCGCGCAGGCTCCGGTGAGGAAATGCCTCGAGTTGGCGCCGGAGGAGGGGGGGGTGGAGCGAGGAGGCGGAGCGAGGAGGCGGAGCGAGGAGGAGGCGAAGATTGTGAGCAGGGTGGAGGAGATGGCCCCCCTAGAACCGCGTGGGACCTCCAAGAATCCCCATCCCTCGCCACCAGGAAATGGAAAATACACACTGAACGAAGGCATGACCTCGTCTGTCCCCAATCCCTCCCTCCCGATCCCCCCCCCACCCGCCTCCTGGAAGATGCAGAGAAGGAAGGAGGAGGAGCAGGAGGAAGATTTGGAGGACGTGGACCAGAGTGAATCAAATATGCATTAGCGATGCTGCAATACATCCTCCCGTCCTCCAAGGTCCCCTTCTCGTACGTTCCAGAAGTCTCCCTTGTCAGCACAAGAAGTGCACCCACCCCCCTCGAAAAAGGCCAGCACAGGTGGGCCTACCATTTTGTCGATTGCCTGGCGTTGAAACCGAGTCGTCTTGCACCTCTCTGGCGCATAGCCAGGAACGTGAGAAACTGCACTCAGCTGGGCGTCCAGCTGGAAAACTGAGTTCGAACAAGGGCCTCTCGCCCCATCCGTGCAACTGTCAAGGGAGGAAGAACCTCCCGGACCGGACAATTGGCGTTTACTAAACGGCCCTGGGCGTTTACTAAACAGCCCTGGCCTGTTTGATTCCTTCTTTGGGTGCGTTTACTCGACGGCTTCGCGTGTCGGGGTGGTTCTTATCGGGGTGGATTTTCTGCCCTCTAGACCGCTCGCAAGCTTACGCTAACGGTCATGAAGTTCGAGGCAGTCTCGAGCGACTGCTCCGTTTTGAGGCAGATATCCGCCCTGCGCCCGTGCAGCGCTGCATGGTCTGAATCTTCGGGCCTCTGAGATGCACGGGGGCTCCAGCGATGCGCCCATTTGAAAGGGGACACAGTCCCCCATCCTGCGAAACGCTGCGTGCAAATAAGGGGTGCGCGCGGCGTTGAGACGAGAGCACTCTTCCGAAAACGACCAGTGCTCAGTGTTTGAAGATGTTGCACGCTTTTGGGACGAACGTGCGCGGTGCCGAGGCGCGAGCCACCGATTGAAAGGGAGCCGCACTCCTTCCGCGAAGCTATTGCAACGTCTTAGGGCCAGAACGCCATCTCGAAAACGCCCCAGCTCGCACCCCTGAAGTTGCTGGAAAAGTGTAGCACGAATGTGCGCGCCGCTGGGGCGAGGTCTACATGTTGAAAACCTCCCCCCACCCATCTCCGAAGCTGGTACAAGTTTGTAAGACAAACGTGTGCGGCGCCAACTTGGGAGCTACCTTATGTGACAACGGATTCCCCCGTTTATTGTGTAACCAGTGCACATTTGCAGGCGAGTGTGCGCGGCGTTCAGGCGAATGTGACAGTTTGAGCAGAAACCGCCCTCCATCCCTGAAACCGCTGCAGTAGTTCAAGACATACGCGCGGCGCTAAATCGAGAGTCACATGTTGAGAACGACCTGAAGTTCGTCCTTGAGGTGGTTACAAACGTTTGAGATAAAGCGCGCGGCCTTGATTCGAGATCCACAGTTAAACAAGCGAATTGTGTTCTACCTTTGAACATGTTGCAGATATTAAAGACGAATGCGCGCAGCGCTAAGACAAGACACACTATTTGAACATGACATGTTCTCCATTCCTAAACCTGCTGTAAGCGAGTAAGACGGTTTGTCGCGCTGCTGCGGCCAGCGCCACATGTTGGAACTCACCCCTCTCCATCCTTGAAGTTGTTACAAGTCGTGACGCGTCGCATATCCCCACCAGCCCATCCAGAAACGACGCCCATTAGAATTGACGGAGGGAGAGGAAGAGACAAGTATAGTCAAAGGATGTTGGTTTCTTGGCGGTCTCATGGGGAGGCTCCGTGGCCATCGTGAGCAGTCTTGAAGCGGTCTTGGGGCTTCTTGGAGCATCTTGGGAGCCATCTTGAGCCAGCTTGGGCTATATTGAGCCATTTTGGATGCCATCTTGGGCTCCCTGAGGCCGCTCGGGGGCCTCGTGGGTGCCTATCGAGTGCCTCTTGGAGGCATCTTGGGGCTCATTGGGGCGCCCTTAGAGTTTTCTTGAGGGCCTCCCTGGAGGGCCTCTCGGGGCCATCTTGGAGGCGGTCAGTCAAAAGAGGGGGGGAGGTCATCGATTTCCTTCCCCCCTTCGGAGGCCACGATCCTCGTGAGGGGTTCCAAACATTGGCCCATCCAGGGGCCGAAGAAAACGAGCCCCTGTCACTTCGCCCCCCTTCCCAAAAGACCTCAGGGAGGGGAGGGGGAGGGCTCCCCTCTCCGAAGGGAAGAGGGGTTGTGGAAGAGGAAAGAGACCCTCGTTAGACCACCCGCCGCCCACATGGTTGGTGGGATATTGTAGGACGAATGTGTGCGGCGCCAGAGTGAAAGCCACCCTTTGAAAACGACCCCCACCCCTTCAATCCTGTGAACCGCTGCATCTGTGAAAGGCGAGTGTGCGCTGCGCTCAGGGCGAACGCTACAGTTTGAAACACAAATCACGCCCCCCATCTCTGAAACCGCTGCAGTAGTTTAGGAGACATGCGCGCGGCGCCAAGGCGAGAGTCACATGTTGGACACGACCTGCATTCCATCCTTGACGCGGCTGCAGTAGTTTAGGAGACATGCGCGCGGCGCTGAGTCGAGACCCACATTAAAACAAGCGACCTGTACCCCACCTTCGAAACTGCTGCAGATGCTTAGGACGAATGCGCGCAGCGCTACGATAATACACTATTTCAAAATGGCATGTTCTCAATCCCTGCACCTGCTGTAAACGAGTAAGACGGTTTGTCGCGCTGCTACGGCGAGAGCCACATGTTGGAAACCGTCCCTTTTCCATCCCTGAAGTTGCTACCAAATTGTAGGACGAATGTGTGCGACGCCAGAGTGAGAGCCACCCTTTAAAAAACGATCCGCACCCCTTACATCCTGTGAACCGCTGCACCTGTTAAAGGCAAATGCGCACGGCGCTCAGGGCGAACGCCACAGCTTGAAACAAACAAATCGCCCTCCATCCCTGAAACCGTTGCAGTAGTTTTAGAGGAATGCGCGCGGCACTAAGTCGAACGCCACATGTTGAAAACAACCTGCTGCATTCTTCAATCAGCTGCATATGTTGAAGGTAATATGTGCGGCGCCAAGTCGAGAGCCACACTTTGAAAACGACCTGTGCTCCATCCCTGAAGATGTTGCAACTGGCAAAAAAGAATGAGCGATGCGTCAAGTCAAGGCACACATGTTGAAAACGGCCTGTGTTCCATCCCTGAAGCTGCTACGAACTTGTAAGGCGAATCTGCGCGGCAATATTGCGCGCGCCACATGTTGGACATGATGTGTTTTGAAACTCGTGCAAATGTGAGGCTTCAGGATCATAAGTTGTGAGGTTGTCTCAGGCGAAACGCCCGCCCCGCCCTACCGACACGTGCGGGGATGCGGCAAGGAGGAGTACTCGGAAGGAAAGAATTGAGGAGGAGGAGGAGGAGGCTGAGGAGGAGGGGCAGGGGCAGGAAGGAGGAGAGGAGGAGGAGGGACAAGGAGGTTGTTGGGAGGGAGGCGGAGGATCAGGACGAGGTGGAGGACAGAGGAGGAGGACAACGAGGACAAGGAGAAGCGAGGATGCGCAATCAGTCCGGCTCGGGCAGCGACGCTCCGCGGGCGCGCGCGCCAGTCGTGCTGCCATGGCGGTGCAGCCGCAAAGCCAGGCCGAGCTCCTCCGCGAGCTCGACGGCCTGTGCCTACCTGGAGCGGCCGCGAAGGCCCAAGGCCTCCAAGATGGGGTCCGAACAGATGGGGTCGAAGGATCATTCTCCGCATCGACGATTCGACCGCGATCGGGCTCGATGCGGAGCCTGAGTTCCTCCACGCCGACGTCGCCGATGCATCAGCCACGTCGACGATGCACCGCCAGTGCATCGCTGATGCATCGCCGATGCATCGCCGATGTGTCGGCGATGCGGCGCGATCCTCCGACCCCATCTGCTCGGGCCCCCTTTAGGAAGCCTCTAAAGGCGGAGGAGCTGGCGCCGGGCACTCGCACACGCGGGCGCCGGGGCGGCGCGTCAGCGGCGAAGGCTAAGGCCAAGGCCAAGGCCAAGGCCAAGGCCAAGGCGGCAGCGCCGCCGCCGATGCCGGCCTCTGCGCCCCCCGCGGCGGAGGCGCCCGTGGACCCGGCCAGGGCGGAGCTGAGCCACGCCGAGCTTCTCGACGAGCTCAGCAGTTTCTGCCTTCCGGGGGCCGAGCCCAGGACGGAGCCGCCGGCGACGCCAGAGACAGCCGCACGCCGTCCACGCCGCCCGCAGGACGGCGGGGGAGGCTCTGCGGCTGCTGCCGAGGCGGGGTCGTCGGCCAAGAAGAGGCCTCGGAAGGCCGACGCGGAGGGGCGGCCGCAGGCGGCCTTCGCGGCCGCCGCGGAGCAGCAGCGGCTGACCGCGGCAGCCCTGGGCGGTGCGGACTCTGCTGGGCTACCGTGCATGCTGGAGGCGTTCTGCTTACCGGGGGCCGGACCAACATCCGCACTGGAGGAGGCCTCTGGCGAAGCCCCACGCGGCGCTGGGCTCAAGGCCCCACGGCGGCGGCCGACGGCACTGCAGGACGACGGGGGAGGTTCTGCGGTTGCTGCCGAGGCGGGGTCGTCGGCCAAGAAGAGGCCTCGAAAGGCCGACGCGGAGGGGCGGTCGCTGGCGGCCTTCGCGGCCGCGGCGGAGCAGCAGCGGCTGACCGCGGCAGCCCTGGGCGGTGCGCACTTTGCAGGGCTTCCGTGCGTGCTGGAGTCGCTCGGCTTGCCTGGGGCCAGACCTGCATCCGCACCGGAGGAGGTCTCTGGCGAGGCCTCACGCGGCGCCGGGCTGCCAGCGGCATTGCCACCTCCGCCGCGGCCTCCCTCGAGTGCGGCCGTGCCCGAACCAACGAGGAGCCCCGCGGAGCCCATCATCGACATTGAAGCCTCAATAGCAGACGCTGCGCCCGAACCTTGCGTGCGTGGGGCGGGCGAGGCTCCGCAGTTGCCCGCTGTCGCAGCCGAGGAGGCCCCGCTGGACAAGGAGCCCAAGGAGGAGAAGGCCTCGGCGACTAAATACAGGCAGGCACACGAGGAGGCTGGGTGCGCAGGCAGCGTCGTGGAGGTGCTCTGCTTCGCCTGTCGGAGAACAAAGGACACCACCGTGCAGAAGAGTCTTCAGTCCTTCTTCAAGCTCAAGCAGCCCACGGCAGACCAGGGGCCCTGTGCTGACCCTGCGTCTGAAGTGACAGAGCCGCCAGAGAAGAATCAGCCTACGGGAGGCGCGCCACTCTGTGCGAGGTGCCGCCGGCCGATGTGGATCAAGGGGGACTCCTTCACCCAAGGGGGCGCGGCAAACTCCCTGAGGGGCTGCGGGGAGATGCCGCAGCTGCAGCGCATCAGGGCCTACAGGCGCAGCGCCGAGAAGCAGGGGGTGCCCTACCTCCTGTCTGAACGCGGCGCCTGCGCGCTCATGCGTAAGGATTGCGTCACCTGCGGCGCCGCGGCACCCGCGGGCGGGCACGGCCTGGCAAGGTTGCGGAAATGGCCTGCGGGCACCGAGAAGCCCGAGAGAGGCGGCTTCATGGGCCCATACATGGAAGAGAACGTCACGACGGCCTGCTCAATGTGCAATATGATGAAGGGCTACCACACAATCGGTGGCTTCGTAAATAGGTGTCGGCACATCGCTTCCATGCACACGCCAGGCGAGCATTTTGGAGAGTACCCGCACCACTTCAGGGACAACGTCTCGAAGCGCTCGCGTTCTTGCTACATCACCTCCTCGAGCACGCACACGAAGACCCACTCCATCACCAACGAAGAGTTCAATCGGATCACGGCCCAGAAGTGCTACTATTGCCACAAGGAGCCACGGCAACCGAAGACATTGGGCCCCGATGACAGGGGCCACTTCAATGGCCTCGACCGCTTGGACTCTACGCACAGAGTCTACACTGTGGATACCACGGTGGCATGCTGCGGGGACTGCAACGTGATGAAGTTCAAGTGGCCGCTCGATAGGTTCTTGGAACAGTGTCGTAAGGTAGCTCGCCTCCACGTGGGTCACGAGTTCGAAGACACCGAGCAGGGAGGCACAGGGGATGCAATCGACATCGACTGCGAAGACAGTGCTGACACTGCCGAGTTTGTGTGCGGCTTGATCGGCGATGGTGATCCGCTTGTCGCTCCAGAGATTGCTAAGGGCGACGGCGCTGAGGAGGTGGGAATCACCGCTGGGCAGGCGTAGCACTCTTGCAGCTGCGCCGGCGATGCGCATGCACAGGCCGCCACTCCGTGGGCGTCCATCTGTCCCTCGGCCGTGCGGGAGGCCAGTCTCGGGGACGCCGAGATCGGCGCCGAGGCGAAGGTCTCCCCACACTTCTCCTCCGAGATCTCACTCCTCGTTATTTCTGTGAAACCTGGCCTCACAGGTCTGATGGCCACGCCCACCTCTCTTTCACAGTAGGGCTGTTCCAACACCATGTCACTGTGTCGGGCCCTCCTCTCCTGGATGATCCATGTTGTGTGTCCGCATGCTTTGTGGATGTGCAAGTGTGGCGTCCTTGCTTGGTTCAGTTGGCTTGCATGATTGCTTGTTTGACTTGTGGCTGGTAGTTCGGTTGGTTAGTACGCATCCTGCTTTACAAGGGCATTGACGGCTCGAGCTCCCTTTCCCTCAAGCAGTGCTTGCATCAAGGGGGTCTCAGTTGTCTAGAAAGGGATGTCTACGGGTGATGGCTATGGCAGGTGCCTTGTGATGCCCTGGCTGGAGCGACTGCTCGATCTCGCCTCGGTGCCTTAATGTGTGGTGCTCTATGGGTGGCTCCGTATGTGTTGTGTGGTCATGCTGGTATGGTCCTGCCTGCACGTGTGTTCGTGGTTATGATGTGTCGTGTTTGCCTTGGTGTCCTTCGGGTGGTGCTCTACGACTGGTGCCCCACGATGCCCCAGTGGTTGCGATGTCTCGGTCCTGCCCTGGTACCTTTAGGGTGGTGTTCTACAGCTGGTGCCCAATAGTGGCTGATTAGCCGGGATGTCTCTGTCTTGCCCTGGTTCCTTATGGGTGATGTTCTTTGGCCGATGCCCTCTGACGCCTTAAAGGTTGCGATTGCCCGTCCTTGCAATGGTTCCCTGTGAGTGGTGCTTTCTAGCTGATGCCCATTGGATGGCGGAAAATGGATCATACGCTCTGATGCTTCAAATGTTGCGAGCTATCGTGCGTGCTTGGGTGCTCTCTGAATTGCGCTTTATTGTTCTTCAAAGCTTGTCTACAGGAGCCCGAGCTCAATCCATAGAGAACTGGTTCACTGTTCTCCTCCCCTCTAGCTTCCTGTCGCAAATGTCGAACTCTTCGCATGGCTTTCCCTGTATCCACGGCCCCGTCCAAATTATCCGCACGGCTTCCTCTCCCATCCGCACGGCTCCGCCCGCCAGAGTAGAGGAGAAGAGAACACACAACAGCGGAGCAGGAACAGAGCAGGGCAGAGCAGGGAAGGGTTCGTCAAATTATCCGCACGGCTTCCTCTCCCATCCGTACGGCTTCGTCCAAGGTCTCCGCACGGCGCCCTCCGCTATCCGCTGAGTAGAGAAGAGTAGATCCGAGTAGGAGTAGAGTAGAGTGGAGTAGAGTAGATGAGTAGCGTAGGAATACGTAGAGGCTATCCGCACGGTTTCGTCTGCTAGAATAGAGTAGAGGAGAGCATCAAATGGACTTCGTCCCATTCCGCCACCGTGCCAGGGAATGATGCCTATTGGATGTTTGGTGGGATCTCGTGGGAGGCCTTTCGGGGGCATCTTGGAGGCAGGTTGGAGGAGGCCTGTTGAGGGCCGTTGGGGGGCCTCTTGGGGCCGCTTTTGGCCCTGTTGTGGGCCTTGTTGGGGCCTCTTGGAGCCTCTTGGGGGCCTCTTGGGGGCCTTTGGGGGGCCTCCTGGGGCCTCCTGGGCGCCTCTTGGGCCCTCCCGGGGGCCTCTTGAGGCGGAGGGCTCGGATTTTCGGTTCATGTTCCCTTTGTTGGGCCCCTTGGGGGGCGTCGTGGGACCCTCCTGGGCCGTCGTGGGCGCATCTTGGCCGTCTTGGGGCCCTCTTGGAGACCTACTCTGCCGTTTTGGGATGGACTTGGTGGCCTCTTGAGCCGTCTTGGAGCGTCGGAAAGCGAAAACGAGAACGTCAAATCCTTCGCCTACGGTATATCAATCATGTTTGCTTCTTGGGGCCCTCTTCGGAGGCCTCTTGGAGGCCTCTCTGAGCGTCTTGGAGGCCTCTTGGGCCATCTTGGGCGTCTTGGAACGCACTGTCGGCGACTCGGGGCCCTCTTGGACCGTCTTGGGGGCCTCGTGGGGCCCTCTTGGCCCGTCTTCGGGCCCTCTCGGGCCTGAAGCCTGAAGGGGTCATGCGGGAACACTTCCCGGAGCCCAGGGGGCACGCGACAAGCCCCGGCGGATTTAAGAATTTAGGGTCCGGGCCTCCTCAGGACTGGGGACTGAGGCTCCAGGGATTAGGCAAAGGACCTGAGGACACGCCCACTCCGTGCCCAGAGGCACGGTGGCGGAGATTGGAGTCGAGTAGAGTAGAGGTAGAGTAGAGTAGGGGCATGGTGGAGTAGAGTAGAGTAGAGGAGGAGGAGAGGGAGTAGAGTAGGATAGCGCAGCGTAGCGTAGAGTAGAGTAGAGTAGCGTAGCGTAGAGTAGAGTAGAGTACGTAGCACCCCGCAATTGCGGATACGAGTGAGGGGGCGGGCGCGGGCGACGCGGGCGTCGAGCCGCGGACCTCGTGGCCCTCACCTTCCTTGTCGATGACGCCCTCCTCCTCCTGCTCCTCCTCCTCTTCCTCGTTCGCGTCCTCGTCCTTATCGTCGTCGTCGTCGTCGTCGTCGTCGTCGTCGTCGTCGTCGTCGTCGTCGTCGTCCGCCTCCTCCTCCTCATCCTCCACCCCCTCCTCCTTTTCCTCCTCCTCTTCGTCCTCCTCCCTCCTCCTCCTCCTCCTCCTCCCTCCTCCTCCTCCCCCCTCCGATCCTCCCCCCTTTCCTTTCCGTTGTCGTCGTCCCCTCCCTCCTCCTCCTCCTCCTCCTCTCCTCCTCCTCCTCCTCCTCCTCCTCCTCCTCCTCCTCCTCCTCCCCCTCCTCCTTCCTCCTTTCTTGTCGTCCCCCTCCGTCCCCCCCTCCTTTTCCTCCTCGCCCTCGTCGTCGGCCTCCTCTTCGTCCTCGTACTCGTCGTCGTCGTCGTCGTCGTCGTCGTCTTCCTCCTCCTGCTCCTCGCCCTGCTCCTCCTCCACTCCGCGGAGCGCGCGCGCGCGCCGGGGGGGTGGGGCGGGGCGGCGACGGTGACGGAAACGGCGACGGCGATGGCGGCGGCGGCGGCGACGGCGACGGCGATGGCGATGGCGGCCGCGGCGGATGCGGCGACGGCTGGGTCGCGGGCTCTCCATCTCCACCTGGAAGGAAATCAAAAAACAGCCCGCCGGAGGCGCCGAAAATTTTGATTTGTACACTGAACGCGGTTTGGGTCGCGGGTGGGTCGCAGGTTCTCCACCTGGAACGAATGCAAAAGAAGCCCGCCGCAGGCGCCGAAAATTTTGGGTGGGTCGCGGGGTGGGTCGCGGGTGGGTCGCGGGTGGGTCGCGGTGGGTCGCGGGTGGGTCGCGGGCGCGGTTTGGGTCGCGGGTGGGTCGCAGATTCTCCACCTGGAACGAATGCAAAAGAAACCCGCCCCAGGCGCCGAAAATTTTGGGTGGGTCGCGGGGTGGATCGCGGGTGGGTTGCGGGTGGGTCTCGGTGGGTCGTGGGTGGGTCGCGGGTGGGTCGCGGGTGGGTCGCGGGGTGGGTCGCGGCTGGATCGCGGGTGGGTCGCGGGGTGGATCGCGGGTGGGTCGCCGGGGGGGTCTCGGAGTGGGTCGCGGGCGGGTCGCGGGTGGGTCGCGGGTGGGTCGCGGGTGGGTCGCGGGTGGGTCGCGGGGTGGGTCGCGGGTGGGTCGCGGGGTGGGTCGTGGGGTGGGTCGCGGGGTGGTCGCGGGGTGGGTCGCGGGTGGGTCGCGGAGCGGGTCGCGGGTGGGACAACAAACAACAAACAACACACAACACACAACAAACAACACCAACAACAACAACAACAACAACAACAACAACAACAACAAGAATCCGCATCGCGGAATTCCACTTCAGCCACGCACCCAGGGACAGTGAATGACCGTTCGGTTCAGCCCCCTCACTCTGATAATAGAGTAGAGTAGAGTAGGACAGACTAGTGTAGAGTAGAAATAGCGTAGAGTGGAGTAGAGTAGAGTAGAGTAGGAGTCGTCATACAAGTGCAAATCTCTGTACTATCCGCATGGTTTCCTCTGCTATTCGCACAGCCCCGTCTGCTAGAGCAGAGGAGAGTATAGTCGGGCCGGGCGAAAGGGGGGGATTGGGAAAAGGGGGGGGTACGAAATTTGCTGCATGCAGCTGGTTTCGGCCTCACCGAGGGGCCCATTCCTCGATACATGGGCGCCTCCCGGCGCAGGGAGGCGCCGGGAAAATCAGCTACGTGAGCTGATTCTCAAACCCCCCCTTTGCTATCCCCCCCTTTCGCCCGACCCGATATAGGAGAGAAGGAGCAGGAGTAGAGTAGAGCAGAGTCGAATAGAGTAGAGTCGGATAGAGTAGGGTAGGGTTTTGGCAGAGTATGGGAGTAGGGTCGGGCAGAGCAGAGTCGAGTATAGTAGGGCGGATGGTAGAGTATAGTCGGGCAGATGGGAGTACAGTCGAGCAGAGTGGAGTAGAGCAGAGTAGGGTACGGTAGAGCAGAGTAAGCGGAGCAGAGGAGCGCAGAGTAGAGTAGAGCAGTGCAGAGCAGCGTAGCGTAGAGTAGCGAAGGAGTAAGAATAGAGTAGAGTATAATAGACAAGAGTAGAAGAGAGTCGGATGTATAGTGTATGATTCTATTTGGAGTCAACGCTGGTTGATATGTTCCCGGCCATGCCCCACTTGTCACAAGTTGTTGTTATTGCCTTGGTGCCCTGTGATTGGCGCTCAATGGTTGGCGCCATTTGCTGCGCTGGTTGTTTCGCCTTTTCGTTCTTGCCTTGGTGCCGTATTGCAGGCGCCCGTTGGTTGGCACGCACCAAATGATGGATGAGTGTTGGCTATTGGTGATGCCCCAGGCCCTAGGATGCGCCACACAGGTTGCACGACATAGACTGCGCTATTGAAAGCGCATCGAGTCTAAGAGCCTCCTGTTCGGGGTCCACGATGGCAACCGTCTGGCCTCCTTGCCAGCTCCCCACACGCCTCTCCTCCACATAAGGTGGCCCACTCGACGACGTAGTGATTTCGCGGCTGCGCCCGAGGCGTTCCCGTTCTGCCGAGATTCGTGAGCACTTCTGGCGTCCAGTGGCGTGTGGGGCATGCCTCTGAGGTAGGGCGACCATTGCGGGATGTCTCGCTAAAAGAAATCGCGGCACTCCACACCGCTCGCGCGTGCGGTTGAAGGGCGCGGTTCAGCCCAGGATGCGGGCTGGAGGACTTGCGGCGACATCTTGGAGGGGAAGGTTCTTGGATGTTCGCGCTCCAGAAAACCACCTGAGACGATCAAGCAGCTCCAGAAGGGGTCGAGAATTCCAGGTGCCTTCGTTGAGCACAAATCACGACGTCGGACGTCTGGGGGAAGCGGCGAGGACGGCGACGGCGGCGGCCGCGACGTCAACGAGGACGACGAGTTGACCAAAGCGTAAAGATGTTTCCAGACCTCCTGTCGGTCAGGGCCGACCCGCCCGCGTGGGTCGCTTGGAGCGGACGCCGAGTCGGCAGAGCGCGCGCTCGTGCCTCCCCGCCGGGGCCCGAATGGCCAAGCGACGCAGGAGGAGGTGATCGTTTGTGTTATTCATTGGTTTGCCGATCGGCGCGGGCCCTCTTACCCCCTCCCCTCCTCCTCCTCCTCCTCCTCCTCCTCATCCTCCTCCTTCTCGTCCTCCTGCCGATCGGCGCGGGCCCTCCCCCCCCCCCCCCCTCCATATGGAGTAGGTCTTGGCTGTTTTTGGGGCGCCCGTGGCGAGCAGGTGGAGTCTCCCCGCTCAGGACCCATTGTCGCAAACAGCCGCACTAAGCAGAGGTCCAGAGCCAGACCCTCCCCCATCCCCCCTTCTTCACTCAATGTCGAAACGCCGAATGAGAAAACGCTCACAAGGGGCGACATATCGGACCATGGGCCTCCTCAGATCGATGATCATCAGGACAGGGTGCCCTTAGTTTCTTGGGTTTCGATGGTTTTGCTATGGAAATCGCGACGACCCCACACCATAAGACAGTGGACGTCCTGGGGTCTCAGGGTTTGGTTTCTTGTGGAAGGTTTCTTGTGGACTGGCCTCCACTGTACCCCGAGCGTGCGTTTACCTCGTTCGGCTCCGCTGACACCGCGCAGCCCGTGTCGGCCCTCACTGCGCCACCTGCGTCGTATCGAAGGGCCCCCCGCGGACAAGCACGCGTTGGCGCGAACACACGTCCCGAGGAGGTCATCCAGCAGGCTTCCGAGGAGGTCAGCGCGGGCATGTGGTGCTCGCAAGCTGCCCGCACAAGGTCGCGCGCGGGCGCCCTCTTTGCTCGCGGGGCGATCCGCGTCTGCGGCCCGAGCTGCGCCATCGCGCAAGGCCGCCCGCCGTGCGCTTGTGCGTGGGACCACTCCGCGGGCCTTTGGCCAAGCCCGGTGACGGCGGCCCGGGAGCGCTGGCTGCCTGCTTGGCTCCGAGGCTGCTCTCGCGCACGCGCTCTCCTCTCAGTGGTGCTCTGTGCTCTCCCGGACCCTGCGCTGCTCGCGGGCTGCTCTCGCCCCCACCGTGCCTCGCTCCTGGCTCTGCTCGTGGGATGCTCTCGCGCTGGCCCGAGAGCGCGGAAGGGGGCCGCGCCTCGCGCAGCACGAGCTTCCGGGGGGAGGCGGGGGGCACGGCCGAGGGGGCCCGAGGACGAAGCGGCGGAAGGGCCGCGGCGGCGGCGGGCACGGCACGGGCCTTTGAAGCCGCTCGACCGGGCGCGCGAGCGCCCTCCGTCGGAGGCCTGGAGGTCGACGCCAACACCAATCGGCGGCGCGCCCGAGGGGGCAGCGAGAAGGAGCCTTCTCAGAAGCTGTTTTGTCTTCGGGGAAGGCTTCGAGCATTTCTCGGAAGGCCGGGGGACCTCCGAGCCTTCTGAGAA